CGGTGTAGCTGTCTGGAATCCCGCGGGGTGTAGTGTGGGGCAGTGGGCGGAGCGTTGCCTTCGTCATGAACAAGTACTGTCTTTATCACGTATTTCTTGAGCCGCGAAAGTGATCGCGAGCGGTAATACGTGTTGTCCAAGGACAGCGTCTGCACATCAGGTGGGCGCAAGACTTTTGAGCCGATACCTTTGAATACAGCCTACGACACGTCTGCCTCTTTTCAACCCGCACGACCACGCTGTCGTCTGAGCAGAATTAGGTTTACTACCTGCTTTCTTTATCGGCGCGTTCCCCTTTTTCAAGGGACTAAATGGAGGTTCGCACCAATGAGCATGGCGCAGAGGTGGTCCTGGCGCTGCCCGATCATCTTACTACCAAATTATGCATGATATTGAAAGGTGGGTTGCCTTCGAAAGGCATCATGCACCAGCAAATAAAAGGTTAGGGACAAGCATAACAAGTAATTTCCACTGAAACAATTAAAATATCACAGTCTCGGCTTATCAATTGTTTTTTAGACGCACGGGTGCTGAAGGAAGGTGTTTCAAACAGAGCCTGAAGTCGCTTGCACGAGAACAACTCGACATGGAAATCCAGTCAGGTGGGTAAGCGAAATTGATGAAATCAAGAGGGCTAGAAGTCCTGATTACTGTAGTTACTGTAGGATTGAAGAGAAAACGGAGAGCGCACCCGTCTCCTCTTGCCTGTGAAGCGAGATTGCTACTACGCGATGGTGGCACTAGAATTCCACCGGCTCAGCGGTGCTCACATGCCAACACTCCATCTAGAGCAAACTTTGACCACCCAGAACTCGCTTAGGTGATCCCCGTAGATCATAACAAAACAGAACCCCGTAGAACTTTAAGTCAGCATCCAAAAGTCCCACAGTCACAGTAGATATCCAATCTATGTCTCAGAGGAGTTGAAACCATTCCTTTGCAAGGCAAAATCATCATTTCCATTGTGGTGATGCCGTAAAGTTCCTTAGATGCCCCCCTAACAGACTTGCTACCTGGTTTAATTTGTATTGTTTCTATTTTTTCCAGCAATCTTTTTTCTAAATCCAGTGTAAATTCCAGTTGGCGGCCACGACAGCGCCGAAGACGCATGGGCTGCGATGCGATTGGTGTTGAGAGCGGCTCGTTCACCTCATTTATAGTTGTGGTGGACTCCTAGAGCACTTCAGGGACTAGCCACACCCCTCTAGGATCGCCAGTATGTTCATGGTGATCGATAGTTATTTATGGGTGTGGCAATTTTTTTCAATAGGCCGTGAAAATAGCCTTAGCGAGCAGGTCAGTGGGAGGGCACTATAAGTTCACAGCGATCCTGTACATAAAGATAAAGGCGCAGTTCGGCTAGGGGAGAGAGCACTTTGGTTACTTCCCATTGTCATGTCGAACCATCAAGTAGAGAATTATACGATTCTTGTAAAGTTATGGTGTGATACCAGTCTGAGTTTGAGAAACTACTTGTCAACTCTTGTAAAGAATACCTGTCAACTCTTGTGAAGCAATGAACACGACAACATGAAGCAGCGAAAGTGCAAAATGCCCCCTCCCCTTCCCCGCCCTTTGGCCGAAGTGCGCCGAGATATGTTCATTGTCTGTATAAGTATTTATTGTAAATATCTCCTCTTTGTGTTTTATGTAGAAGTCAGCTGGTGTTTTTTTGAAGTTTTTTTTGTATTTATTATGTGTCATGTGTTTCATATTGTTATAATATGTAGTATTTATCATAAAAAAGAAATATTTATGTATGTAGTGTTCATGACAGGATAACAAGGAGCGGCATTATTAACCCTTTATTGGCCCACTCATCAGAAATAGCCACATTCTGGCCGGAATTTTCCTCTCGTGCTACTTGAACCTGAGGGTATTTTGAACCCGAAGGCGAATATTGCATCCACTTGAAGCGAAAACGGCTGGTGCTCGCACAACAGTCAGGGCGTTGGGAATCCCCTGCGTGGGCGGTTGAATTTCCATTCAAAAAAGACGTGTTTGGTTGGGTTTTTTCCTGCTTCAAGTACGCCATTCTACCCTACCTCTACGCGCTCGACGGCATTTTTTGGGTCTGAAGGAAGAACTGCTGGAGGAAAAACTAGGGCAAAGTGCCAGAAAGCTGGGTTCTACTCAAGGAGACGGTAGGTGGTATGGTGGACAGCGAAGTGGGGATCGTATTGTGCCGAGAGTTTCCCAACAGAACGTGCCCTGAACACAGTCACCGGCCAGTTTCTCACCGGCGCCCATAGCGCACGCTTCAAGCGTTTTTGTGGCAGGCAGAAGTTTCAGCAGACTTGGGGGTTTGACGCGCGTGAGGCGGACGCCGGGCGGTCTCGAGTCAAGCCGATTTGATATTAGATCAATACCACATGTTGAAATATTATGGTATACCCAGGGGGTTAAACTAGCCTAGGAACAAAATTCCAGCCAACTCCATCCAGGAGAAAATTCCCGATCCAAATGTGACCTGAATTTCGAAGCGATAGACAGGAAAGGGTAAGGAGTACCAAAAGAACTACCGAGACAATATGAGGCCAAGCAAACCTGCATATATTCAGACTCCACTTTTGAACATGGGAATGGTTTCAACAGAATATTTAAGAGAAGGGGGAGGGGTAGAGAGTGAAAGATGAGGCGATTATCTGCGTCTATGCCATAATCAGTCGATAAGCGTACAACTTGCGCTACACCTTTTGAAGCAGATTTTTCCAGAGGGCATTTTTCAAATAGACCGAGTTATCCAAGTTCAGAATTATTTTGATATGCCTGCTGAGACGCTAAGATTTGTGTGGTTATGCGCAGCCATTAACGAAACACATAGGGCCCAAAAATGGTGAGTTATGTGACGCAGACCAATAACAGGGTGGTAAATGATACAAAAGTGAAGAAAACACCAGAAAACCCGCCCGAAATGCTCCCCATGTAGAACATCATGATGCAATACGCTTATACAAAGCGAAGAAAGGGTGTGGTCGGACGAGTTGAGTTGGTCGGAGTTTTAGCATGAAAATGAGTCCACAAGACAAATTCGTCCTGATTTTGCTTCTGCAGGGTCTTATCAGGGAAAAGCGACGCCTCCGTTCCCTATCAACAGATCTGCGCGTGTTTGGTCGAACCTAGGCATTTAGCAACTTGTTAGATAAGCACTTTTTTATCATTCCTCAGCACCTGGACCACAGTGATTATTCACGTGAATTGCACTGGAGTCGTAGCTCGGGGTTGTTCCCGACAGAGCAGAAGTAAGAAGAATTCGGGGTTTCAGATCCATCAACAGTTAGAGGTCAGGGAGGCTACCGTAGTAGCGCGAGGCTTAGAAATCCAGAGCGTTGCGCAGTTTTATGATGCTCTTGGCAAGTGCCGTTGCCTACTGGATCCTAGTGGACATCAAACAAACGACAGGTGGGGGGGAAGAGGAAATTATTGTCCTTCGGTAAACTTGTTCGCACGAAAGCGTCGCAGGAATAATCGTGAATCGCTTGGGGTTTCTCAGGCTAGGCTAATCTACCGGAGTGTTCTGAACACACCATCAGTGCACCTCCTGCCGCTAGTTAGAATTTAGGGAAAATACGCTCCCGGAAATCATCCCTCTGGTACTATTCTACCTTCCCTATATGCAATGTTCATAAGTTTTTCCTACTTGTTTCAGATTCCTGAAACATTTCTTGTTTTCCCACTAATAAACAACCGTCGAGTGAGGGTGGGGGAACGTCGCCATCGTCGCCACCAAACAACCACTATTTTCAACTATCGGAAATTGTAGTTGCGAAGAGCTCACGGGGGGAGAGGTGGGCTGCTGGCTCTCGCTCGGAGAATTCGATGATCACAAGAGCGAGCGGTGATAAAAGTGATCATGAGCGTGATCAATGGTCTTTATTGGAGAACACTATGTTTCCCGAAAAGATGTTCCGACCATCTGCGTTCATTCAAACGACCATGTCAATAACGCTGTCAAGGCACGTCGCACGCCAAAGATCCCCAGATCTCGATTGGGGTGGCTGGAGGAAGAGGGACGAGGGGTCGTCTTCACCTCTGCTTCACATGCACTATAAAGCCCGCTTCCCCCTCTCCTTCTTCCCTCCGCCCCATGGCAGTTTTTTTAGAGAAAACTGGGGAATTTATGAAAAAAAACTTCGGAAAATTGGTAGGAAGTTGGAAGAATTCAGGGAGAGATAGCAGGTAGGTGAGAGACGGGGTACAGGGGCAACTGAGAGAGACACACATTGTACCAGAAAAGGAACAGTTGAGGGGAGTGGGGAGTATCTTATTTTTCAATCTCAAGTTTCTTGTCAACAGCTGCGCAGCTACTGCCAACTGCAGTCCAACTTCGACAGAATTTATTGATCTTCTGAATCCTCGGAAGTGCTTCCCTGAGAGCCAATTCTCACTGAACCCCTTGAAGGTATCAGGATGAGAAGGCGAATTAACTTTGATCTATTACTTCTGGGATCCCGACACCCGATTCACTTCCGCTGGGAAACTTGGGAATTGGATTTGGCCCATGGAAGCTAGACGATGTAGAGTTCTGGTTTTTTTATCTTCACACAAGTGTATAGTACCAGTTGAAAGGCCTCCGGGGTATGGAACGCACGGCTAGCCTGAACGGCAGCCGACCAGGGATTTGACCCCCCTTCCCACGACCGTACGCGTTAAAGGCAGCGACATTTCTCGCTTCACCACGTCTCTTTCTGAATTCTCAGGATAATAGAGATTGAAACTGTTTCTGAGCGCAGTACGACTTGGTGGGGACATCCCGCCTCCCATCAATCACTGTCGTTGGCTCCTGGGAATCTGCGATTTCCTGTAAAGCTACGACATAGCACTCGTTCATACTTCAAAGAGTGCACAGGTCCTACCAAGGTATGACGTGCAATTCAGCAGGAACTAGCAGAAGGAGTTCCGGAGTGCAAAATATTCCTCTCAGGTCGAACGCTCCTGTTTCCATTATGAACACCAGTTTTTAGTGGCCAAAATCGTGTTCCAATTCGACTAAACTAGCTGCTGAGGTGGAAACAAATGGTCTTATCGGTGTCACTGGTGATTTTTCGAGATGGTGTGACACGACACCGCCAGTCGTTGGAGCGTTCCCCCTATTTAAGTTCTTCCTGATAACACTGCTCATCGAATACCCGTCGCTTTTCTGTATTGTCCACCTCGTTCGCAATTTCATCTCATCACTTTTGGTACTTTCATTTTACGAAATTTTCCAATTTTATTTGCACTGCGATCCCTTGTGAAAATATATAGGTGTCGGCTGGGAGATCCATGCTGCGGCAACGCGCACAAATTTTAATAGCTAGTGTTGGGGCATGGAACTTATGCGATGGAACTACGACATTTTGAAAAAGCTTTTTTTGGGAGCATCGGTCACATTAGCCTCATTTCGATTTGAGCTGTTTTTTACTGTTATTTTATCTTGAATGTATGACTGACTAAAAATCTATGTCAGACTCTGATATTTTATTGTCGAACGCGCATTTATAATCATGTCCCTAACCCAATAATCATGCTGTGGTGCGAATGTCGCGCAGGTGCTTTTAGCGAAACGTTGTGATGTGGGTTTCCCAACCGGCACCCAAATAATAGAAGAAGGTTGATATGTGAAAGGAAGGTGAATTAATGAAAAGCGTGTGGTTCGGACCCGGGAACACCTACTTACATCTATTGCTTTGGCATACATATATGTATCGGCAGGACCCATTTTCTTTGATGTGGCCTTCATCCCAGCTGGGTAAAGTACGTAAAGGGAGCCACGCTGTGACTTCGCAAGGTTTGTCGCTTGGTTTGTACTTTCCCTCACTGTGATAACCCCCCTCTAGCTCAAGCTCTGAGCGTTAGAGAGCGCCAGACGCGTCCTCCCCTAAACTACCTGCACACCTGAGGAGAGCTGAAAGCACCTAGAGCTTGGGAAGCGGATACCATGTATTGAACCTGATGAGCATACTCTCCCCTAAGGCAGCGTTCAGACTTCGCGACGGCAGCGCTTCGGTCGCGCGTTCGGCGCGATC